AAAGCTCTTACCGCAGCTTACTTACCATGAGGGTGTCTCCTACAAAGCCCTTACGGATGCAAACCAAGCTCTTTTCTCCCAGATTGCACTGATCTCTCTTAGGCCACTCCCTGCATTCGGACTTAGACCAGATGTAATGCTTTGTTCTCTTGCGAGCAATAATAACCCCTTCCACATCTGCCCAGTGGCTATGTCTCTCCCTTGCTTATTACTTCCTCTCAGGGATGTTTATCACATTAAGCCCCCTCCTTGGGAAGAAGCAGAGGTCTATCCTGGAAGAGATATCTGGTAACTAGAACACATGCAACTCAGTAAGGAGACCTTGGCCCCAGAGGAAAGGATATACCTTCGCTTCATGGCCTTTTTAGGGCTGGAATTTGAATGTGGTTGTGCTAGAGAGGGCTCCTGAGTGACAGAAAGATGGTTTCTTCCATGAAGGGGCAGGTGGCAAACTAAGGGAGGCACCACAGAAGGGCCCCCACCCCAGGTTGAAACTGGGTTCTACTTTTCGTATCTTCCTCTCAGCGAATCTTCACTGAACACCTAGCACATACCAAGCACTGTGCTATGTGCTGGCAGTGGTGTGCTGGTAAACTATCTCTTGGAAAAGCAAAGGCCCTGATTAGTAGTGCCTGACAATTTCTGTGGTGTAAATATCCCCACTGTTGCCGATTTCAAGCTACCAACATGGTAATACGGAATGTGAAGCTGGAAGGAATGTGCACTGTACACCCTAGAGAGATGGTTCAGGGCCAGCCCCACCCAGCACACCACTGGCTGGGGATAAAGCAGTAAATAAGACCAAGGCCACTGTCTCATGGAGCTTGTTCTAAGGGGCAGAAAGCTTCCATAGCTGACTTGGCTACCATCTTGGTGGGTCAAGATCTGATTGTCTTAAGGAGATTGCATCTCCCTCGTACTCTTGTACTAGGCTGTAAGACCTTGGAGGACAGGGACCACATCTTCTACTTCACTCTGTCCCCAGCACCTGCATGGAGCTCTGCTCATGGGAGACACAACCAATTTGCTGGCTGACTGATTCTGTGGTGGAGGCAGAGGGGGGATATCTGTGGAATGAATCTCCCATCTACCAGAAGCAGACCATCTGTGCCACCCACCCCAGAAGAGGAGAAGCAACCACAAGCTGGAGTAGTGCAGCATCGGCCTTAGGTAAATTACAAAACAGGGAGTTTCTCACAGTGCTCCCCACCTGCTAAACATCACTCCTCCCCACCTCTGGGTACCCCTGCGTTGACCGGTTCTCAGGCCTGACCTCAATTCTGACCCTGCACCCCTGCAGGCCAAGGGCTTCAGTGGTCATAATGAAGGTGGAAACTCAGACTTTCAAAATCGTAGGAAGAGTCAGAGTCATCCCTGGCTTCTCTAAGGGGCCCAAACCTTCCCTCCTCCCACATCCAAAACAGGTTACATTCTCTAGCTTAATCTAAGGTGTACGACAGAGAAAATGCGCATGAGCACAGCAGGTTACAAAGAACCACCTGCAGCCTGCCACAGCCAGGCTCCCACAGGGAGAAAGGAAAGTGCCACCCTCCCCAGCGTGGTGAGCGCAGCCAATGGGAAAGCTCCCACTCCTCCCGAGCGGGACAACACAAACACCACAATGGATCTGCTTGCCCCGGGAAAGGAGGTTGCAGGAGCAGCTCCTATCAAAGCTGCGGACCCTGGTCCCGAGTGCTCAGGAGGAAGAGGAATAGGCCCCGTGAAAGACGTAGCCTCTTGCCATCCACCCCTCTCTCATTTCAGGATTCCCACCACAGAGCCCACAACACTTCAAAGATCAATACTTTATTTTCTCTAGCTCCAGTGTTGCAACTGTAGCAGCATATCAGAAACATCCCACACAAACACACAATTCTCCCCTTCTTCAAAGAGCTAGCAACAATTGAGAGGCAGAAACAATAGTCACCACAGGCATTTGAGGAATTTAACAAATAACACTTGCTCACCCTTAAAACATACATTGTGCGTCTTGCAAGTAGGAAGCAGCAGTACATTTGCAGTTCAAAGATACAATCATCCTTAAATAAAGTTAAATAAAACCTTATTGGCATAACAACTGGTTGGAGATGCAGCTTTTGGGGGGCTTTGGAGGATGGTGCTTGGAATAAGACATGAGCATTTTAAAAGAAAAGAGCAATCAATGAAAAAACAAACTACACATAGAATGTAACCCAGTAAACAGATTCAATACAAAGTTAAGGAAACATAGTCATGGGTGGAAGATATCACCCATTTGGAAAAAATCAGTTTATTGTTCGAAAACAAAGCTTTCAGCTACAAGCGGTTGAACCTCAAATCATGGTTTGGGCATTAGAGCTACTCACACACACAGCACATAAAAGCACGAGTGCTGGACTCAGGGGGCACTGACTGGCTGCAGATGTCACTCCAAGACACCAAGGACCAAGTACATGTTGTGATTATATTGAGTTGGTCCGGGAGTCGGGCGGATAGCAAGGTGGGGCGACCTCTTCCTATTTAGCACTTTGCTACGTCAAGTCACAGTAAAAAACCTGATTGCAGTCTGCATGGGGCTACAATACCAAGTTTGGAGATAAAGGCCAGAGGGGAAACTTAATTTCTACAAAATTAACAAACACCTGTATCTGCTTAGTGCTTGACAACAATCAAGGCTTTCTTCAACGTCCTGATGACCAGGTGGGGCCTGCAGGCTGACCATGTGACTCCCCCAGCTGGCCCATCCCTGCAATCTGGGCCCACAGAGCTCCAAGATCCGGTTTCACCTTTCCTTCTTTTCTTGTTTGGAGACATCAGTCTCGCTCTGTCGTCCAGGCTGGAGTGCAGTGGCACGATCTCAGCTCACTGCAACCTCCACCTCCTGGGTTCAAGCAATTCTGCCTCAGTCTCCCAAGTAACTGGGATTACAGACACCCACCACTACGACCAGCTAATTTTTGTATTTTTACTAGAGATGGGGTTTCACCATGTTGGCCAGGCTGGTCTCAAACTGCTGGCCTCAAGTGATCCGCCTGCCTTGGCCTCCCAAAGTGCTGGGATTACAGGAGGGAGCCCCTGCACCGGGCCTTCACCTTCCCTTCTTGCATCCCCCTAACCAAAGGAGTTTTCCTAGAGAAATGAACAGTTTCTTTTCTAAACACCAGTGAAAGCAAAATCCAGTAGGGACTGTCTTGCTGCAGTGTGGCCCATCTCAGGTGGACTAAAAGGGGTGGAAGGATAATTTTTTACAAATTTTCCTTAAATTCTGCCTTGGAATTTAGAATTTGATTCCCCCCCCCCCTCCATTTGCAGAATTTTACACCATTTAACACAAACCCAAGGCAGGTTGAGAACACAGATGTAAACAATCTCAGCAGCAGCGTGGGCACTACAGCTTTCTACATCATCAGGTAGGGCTGAGGCTGCAACTGGCTTTGGAGTGTGAGGGGGCAGAGCAGGGAGGTGTTAACCCTCAGATGGTACAAGGCAGCAGCCAAGCCCCATAGCCCAGCCACAAGGGGCACAAGCGGGAGGTGCCCAGTGTGGCCCTTTCGCATCCCTGATCTGAAAAAAGAAGTCAACTGACTGATGATAGAATTCCTCATCGCTATCAGAGCAAAAACTACTCCGCTAGGCACCGTGTGCATGTTCCCGAGGTCTCACCAGGCCTGCACCTCCTCGGTGAGATGCCACAACACTGAGTGTGGTGGGTGGCGGCAGGTCAGGACCTGGCTCGCCGAAATGCAAACACGCCTGAGCTTCCCGCTCACTTTTAAAGATAAGCTCTGGTGAGAGCCCCAAATCGGAGCCGGTGCCGCTCGCCCCATCGGTATTCCCTTGCACGACGGCCCCAGAGCACCAAACGGCATCGCTAGGGAAAACGGGCTTGCATTTTCTCTGAGCGACCGTCTTACCCCGGACACACTATTTCAGAGGGCAAGGCTGCGAGGCCTGTGTTCCCGGGTGACGCAGGGCGAACGGGGCTGCAGAATGGCTTCTGGAGAGGGGTCTTCGGACTCGGGCAACACGGTCCAGGTCAGACCTGAGCCGCAGGGCCCTCGCAGATAGGCCTGGCTCCTGCCGCATGCGGTGAGAAGCTGTGATGTGGAAGTTAACGGTTTGGGACTGGACGGGGGACAGTCTGCAGACGTGCTTCCCTAGACCGCACAGGGAAACGGGGGATGAGGAAATTCCGTCAAAACACACACAGATCACATTACCTGAAGTGCCTGAGTTAAAAGCTGATGCAGAAATAAGTCCTAGGCTGAAGGTAGGATTCATTCCAAACACCTGCCCCGCAGGTAGCCAAGTGCTACCTATGAAGGGCTTCTAAGTGCTGACCGGGGAGGCGGGATTCACCTCACTCACAAGGGGAGGAAGCAGTCTCAACAGGTTTACGCCCAGCCGCCCTGATTCTGCTGGGCTCCACCGACCGCCAGCGGGCGAGATCCTGCCCACCGCACGTGTGCGTGTGTGTACACAGCAGGAGCAAACGGGCCAGGGCCAGGTCTCTGGTCCTGGCATTTGGGGGAAAGACAAAGGAAAAAAGGCACATGAAGTGGCTGATTGAATTTAAAAGGGAAAAAAAAAAAAAAAGGTAGCTGCAAGTGACATATCATTATTTAAATTTTTTTAAACGTACCTTTTTTTCCCCCATGAAAAGAGAAATTCAAAATATAAACTTAATTTTTATTATTTTACATTCAAGTGAAACTTCCATCTGGAGGGGCTAAAAACACAGCTGCAGGCCACATTCAGTGATTTACTACTTTGGTGCCTTTTTCGTTCACCTGATGGAAGAATTCAACCCTCTCATTTAAAAAAAAAACAAACAAACAAAAAAACGAAAAACAAAACAAAAAAAAAACAGCTGGAGAGTCCCAGCCATAATACTAGGTGTAGACACGCACAAGCACACACACAAATTCAAAAACTTCTACATAGAAAAATAAAGGATAAACATTATCCATCTATTTTGTACTGTGTAATGGAACTTTTATATACATAAAAAAAATGTTTTGTTTACTGTTTTCAGTCACTGCAAATTTTCTTCCCTCCTGTGAGATCTGAGGATCCACAGAGGAGGCTGCCACAGTGAAGCAGAAAAGCTACATTCTGCCCAGGGAGGAAGAGAAAAAGCAATTTCTCGCTCCCCTTCCAAAGTCTTTCTCATCCACCACCGCCTTGGATGTCCCTGCAGACCGCCTTCCCGTGAGCGGCTGGCCCGTCCCCTCCTCCCTCTAAGGCATCGAGGAGCAGAGGACCCATAGGGAGCACCCTGCAAAAAAAGGATGTAGGTGCGAGGAGAAGGCAAGGGGCTGGATGCAGGCAGAGAATGGCTTTAAGAAGAAAAGATTCTATGATCCCTTCCCATAGCCTGTTCCTTTAGTATGGAGCTCGATTTTCCAGCTGGCGCTTGGTGAGAAAGTATTTGAAGAACTCATAGACAGACCAAGAAATGGCGGTGGAGGGCATCTGGTAGATGACACGCGCCTGGATGCCTTTGAAGTAGCCGGCCAGGCCATTGAGCTGATATACCGTCCGGAAGGCATTGGCCATGCCTGACAGCCGGCCGCTGATGTTGGCCAGGGAGAGGGCCACGTTCTCCTGAGTGTTGAGAAGGGTCTTACAGACGTCCAGGGGGGTCGTGGCGGCCGCGGCGAGGGCCCCGGCCAGCCCGCCTGAGATGATGTGGGACTGCGGGTTGTAGGTCCGGTGGGGGTTGACCTGCTCCTGCAGGAACTCGTAGGTGATGAAGTGGATGGACTGGAAGGGGATGTTCATGGTCAGCTGCGTGGTGTAGCTCCGGTAGAAGGCCCCCAACCCCTCGGTCCTCCACACCGTCCGGATGCAGCTGAGGGCTGACCGGTGCTGCGAGTTGTACATCTGCAAACGCTGCTTCACCACTGTGGTTGGAGCCGCAGGGCAGGCCAGATGGAGAGCCAGTGGGCAGTGGGTCAGACCCAGGTCAGAATGAAGCCAAGCCATAAAGAGAAACAAGCCAGTTAGACACGCCGGAGACACACGAGAGCCAACACACACAGCCCCAGCCTGAGCCGCTGCAGACGGCCAGCTCCTGGCAGTCCTGGATTAAAATCCATTTTTATCTCCAGGACCCACTGCCAAGAAGGTGGCTACATCCTGAAGTTTCTCCTGCCCAAATCTTGCTGAAGGCAGCCCCCAAACCAGGCAGCCACTTCAGACTAGAATCACGGATCTCTTTCCCAGATCCTGGCTGCCCCTGGTGGGAACCCTCAGCACCCACCACAAAGCTGAATCCTGTCCCCTGTACCCTCTGCCCTCATCCGTCCCCAGCACATCTACTGGAAGCATGTCCCCTCGAGTATTCACAGGGGTTTGTGCCTCTAACAGTAATTCTCGCTTCTGTGACACAGTGTGTTTGGAACAGACACTGGAATCATGTCTGCCCAAGTTCAAAGACTTTCTAACTGGGGTTCACAGGACAACAGGCGAATGAGACTAACTGTGGTACCTTAGGCTTAGGGTTTTAATGGCTTCATGTATTGCCAAATAAATACACACATGGGCTTTTCTTACTTTTAAAGAAATAAGGACTGTAAATCAATAGCTATGACAAGGTGAAAGAGAAAGCTTGAGTCTCACTTTTTTCTCCTTTAAAAAAGATAAACAAAACCCTTCCTTGGTTACACAAAGTTCACTGACCAGGTCCCTGAATGAACTTCCATAAAAACAAGCCCAAGATATATAATATGTGAGTGAATATTTATTTGGGACATTTTTAGGTTTTTCATTGAACTACTTCCTAGAAGGGCTTCCTCCTCCTCACCTCTGCCTACCTAAAAACACCTCTCCTGCCTTCAAAACACTCTGTCTTGAATGCGTTCATTACAGGACAAGCCATGAAGGCAGGTCAATTTACTTAAGAACATCACATCTCTTGAGAAAGATAATGTGTACAAAACAAAACAGAACACAAGCTCTCTTTCTCAGCTCTCTACTTTGTAAATAAAAAGGGGGAAAGGGTGTGTCCCTCCAGCATGCCTGGCGTAGCACACGATAAAGAAATCCACGGGAATGGAGAAGGTGCCTTTCTTCACCTGCCCATCGGGTCACGCTTAGCACCCAAACCATAGAGACTCCCTGCCCACCTCCCAACCCAACCCACCACAACCCTGAAGGTCAGACCAAGTCCCCTATCCGCGAAGACATGGCAGGTAGCTAAAAGCAAGTTTAACAGCTTCACCTTGAAAGACAAAGGATAGGCAAGCTTACAGCATGAGACTTAAATTGTTGAAACTTTTCTCTCCAATCCTCCCTTCTGGCCAGGAACTATTTTCAGATGGGGCAACAGGGTGAAGAGAGTGTCACAGCTCACCTAAAGCCATCGCCAGGTAGAGAACGACCCAGCTGAAGGCCTGCCCGGAGCCAGGCACAAAATGTCCTCACTATTCAGACCCGAGCTAGCTAAGACGCCAGGATATATAAAAGGGGAACAGACTCGGGTCTGCACAGCTGAGGCTCACTTCGTAATACCGCCGAAATTTAAAAGGACAAAAAGAAGGTAGTGTGGAAAGAGACGGCCAAAACAAAATGACCCAGTGTCAATTTCTGAAGCACAGAGATGGACACACTGGGGTCCATCATATATTCTCTCTACATTCACATCTGTTTGAAACGTGATGCATAATCTTTCAAATTAAAAACAGCCAGACTGAACACTAGCCCTTAAGAATAGCCTCTGATGGGTTCCCCATACATTGGTGTAGAATTGATAAGGATTAACGAGGGCTAGGGGGGTGTGTGTGTGTGGTGTATACATACAAGTTTTAGAGTAGTGCAAAAGCAATAGAAATCACCAGGAAAAAGATTCTGGTCCCTAGCTCCAGGGATTCTGATCCAAGAGGCTCAGCGTAGAGCCTGACAATTAGCATTTCTTTTCTTTTCTGTTTTGAGGCAGAGTCTTGCTCTGTAGCCCAGGCTGAGTGCAGGGGTGCCATCACCAGTCCCTGCAGCCTCGCCCTCCCAGGCTCAAGCAATTCTTCCTCAGCCTCCTGAACAGCTGGGACTATAGGCATGCACCACCACACCTGGCTAATTTTTACATTTTTTGTAGAGACAAGGGTCTCATTACGCTACCCAGGCTGGTCTTGAACTCCCAGGTTCAACAGATCCACCTGCCTTCACCTCCCAAAGTGCTGGGATTACAGTTTTAAACCACCGCTCCGGCCAGTTAGCATTTCTTTTTCTTCTTTCTTGTTTTGAGACGGAGTCTATCTCTGAGGCCCAGGCTGGACTACCGTGGTGTGCTCTCAGCTCACTGCAACCTCTGCCTGCCAGGTTCAAGTGATTCTCCCACCTCGGCATCCCCGGTAGCTGGGATTACAGGTGCACACACCACACCCAGCTAATTTTTGTATTTTTAGTAGAGACAGGGTTTCTCCATGTTGGTCAGGCTGGTCTCGAACTCCTGATCTCAAGTGATCCTCCCACCTCGGCCTCCCAAAGGATGGGGATTATGGGCTTGAGCCACTGGGCGCAGCCTAAGGATTAGCATTTGCAACCCCCCAAGAAGGTCTCATGATGCTGATCTGTAGACCATACTTTGAGCAGCTGTGTTTCTGAGCACAGGAATACCATAAAACCCAAATGTTCATGTCCCTTCTTGAGGCCTTTGATAATGAAGTAAGGAATTCAATTCTCCTATCTGCTCTGACTGGGGTCCAGGAGCCGCCCTGCCCACCTTCAGTCCTCACCACTCCCCCACCACCATTTTTTTGTGCCCCTTTGCACATCCCCTACTGCCCCTCCCTGGGACCAGGAAACATTACCTTCTGCTGGATTCATTACCGCGTCGTGGAGCAGGGTGGCCATACTCCCAGCTATCCCTGCAAAACAAACTCCAGAAAATTACCCTCTGCGACCTGGTGTTCTCAGGAAGTTCCTGGAACCTAAAATCAGACGGAACCCAGGACTTAGTTCTCTAAGAAGCGAAATGTATTACTAGCTCCACCCAGGTGAGCACTGACTCTTAGTACCCTAAAGTGATGGTGAAAATAGGATAAAAATGGGGATAGTTCATTTAGGCACACTCACCCACACTGTAATCTTGAAAAACCTCATTTTCTTTCTTATAGTCAACCCTGGGAAGAAGCTAAACCTGCAAGTGTTAGGTGGGTCCCAGAAACCACATGGCATGGCTTTTCCTACAGTCTAGAGGTTAATTCTCTCTCGTCCTAGGCCTTTGTCTACACATTAACTCACTTTGCCCTTAAGCTGGGGCCCTGAAAGGAGATAATATCATATCTACTACTGAGAAAGGGAAAAAAGAAAATCTGGTTAAAATCCAGGCTTAAAAAAAAAAAAAAAAAAAAAGGCTGGGAAAGAGAAGAGGATATCAGGAGAATCTGCATTTGGTAGATGTCCAGGGTCAGTCTGCAAAGCTACAGGACTGACCCCATCTGAGGGTCGGGTCAGGCCTGGCTTCAAGAACCAGGAACTTCAAAAGCCAGAATCAGGCCTGGAATTTTGCTTTTGGCTTTGAGTTTCCTCCCTTTGCGGTGACACTAACCTGTAATTAAAATGACCACGGGAAGGTGGGAGGAATGAGGAATACCAGGATGACTCTTCAGCAATGCATGTAATACCCTCTCCCCCACCGCACACACGCTTATCATCATTCCCAGCAAGATCACAACGCCACCACAGCATACACCACACATTGCAGAAACAGCACAGGCCAGTACTTGGCATAAAATGGATTCCGTTAAATCTCTTTCAAGGAGCGAAACCGTTACATAAGGCAGTTTCAGCAAAAGAAGGACGCCAATGTCACAGACTCAGGGGTAGGAGAGGGCTTGGCTCTTCAGCGACCATCTCAATAAATGCACTAATGGCCAATTTTTACAAAACAAAACAAGTATCTGCAAACCAGCTGGGCACGCTTATTACCAAGGTTGGCTGATGGGAGGACAGATGCTTTTTCAGCAGAATCAAAAGAGAGGGGGAGAAGTTACTGTTGGTCTTATCTACGTCTCCATCGTTGAAACAAATGAATTTTGTCAGAACAAAGGTACTTCATGCTGCTATCCATATTTCCATTCCAAACCCAAACAAAAAACAAAAGCCCACCCCACAGGAGAGGAGAACGTAAGAGCTTAGCCCTGCCCCATAAAACGTGCCTTATGTAAGAGCTGCTGGCTGACTTGCACCCCCCATCCCCGCCCTCCCTCAAAACAACCAAACAAAACGATTTCAGCCCTTGCTTGCAGAGAGATGCAACTCAGACAAACAGAAGAAAATGGGGGTAAAATTCCCAAATCCCCAGAAGCTTAAGGTGGGAAAGGCCTTCTGCGTGGAGCGTCCTTTGTCAGCCATAAAACTTCTTGACCTTTTAAAGCTTAGTTAGATCTTGGCGTTGTAGAGACCTGTTGTACCAGTTTTTAAATAGTCTCAAAGAAGCTGTCCAGATAACTTTTTTTTTTTTTTTTTTTTGAATCCAGCATTCATAAGTTTTGTTTCTATTCAGGGTTTCCCCTATGTCTGATCATTGTTTTCGAATGTTTGAAAACAAAACAAAACAAAAAAAAAAAAAGAAAAGAAAAGAAAACCCATACAACAATAAAATGAAAACACCTCTGTCACTGATTTCTCCCCAGGCTTCAGAAAGCGGTGGGGAACAGACAAAAGCATGTGTGTGCCGCGCATGTGTGTGTGCGTGTGTCTGGGTGTGCGTTGCACACACAACTCTAGAGTTCTTTATTCGTGAGCAAGCGGGCCGAAGTCGAGGCGGCTGGGTCACAGGGAGGAACACCCTGGGGAGGGACGTGTTGAAGAAGAGAACTTTCTAACTCCAGACAAACGCTTTCAAAATACCGTTGGCTAGGTGGCTGTTTCCTTGGTGGTGGAAAACGTCATTTAAAGTCCTTTTCATGTTTTCATAGCAGGCAAAATACATGGCGTGGGCCGGCCCTGCACCCATGATCATGACATTGAGGCCCCGCAAGGGCCTCCAGAAGCCTTCGGTCCGCATGATTCTCTTGAGGGCTCCGTAGATACTCGTGTACTGGGCTCTGGGATCTGGACTCAAACTCTGCATTCGCGTCTGGGAGTGGGCGAGAAGAGAAAACAAACAAACAAAAAAGAGATTTAATGAGGATGGTAAAGAAGGAAAATAAGACCTGGAGAAGGAGAGAGAAAAAACAACGTTCATAGTTTCACAGGATTTATCTGGGAAGGAAACATATTTGAAATCCAACTGAATTCTACATGGACATAATGAAGTCCACATGAATGTGTACATGCAGATTTCATTATGCCCCATAAATGGAGAAAGAGAGAGAAGGAGGTGGAAGAGAAAGACCTTCCCCTGCCACTGGCAAGCTGTGTGGCCTCTGGGGAATTCCTTAACGTCTCTGGACCTTAAGACCTTCAATTAAAATAACAGGATTGTTGCAAGCAGCAAACCAAATAATGCATATGAAAACCCTTCAAAAACTCAAGAGTCCTAGATAGATGTATAATTGTCCTGCAGTTACCACTCTGGTGGTGAAGTCTTCTGTGTCCTCACTTATCTGAAACCTCCATGTTCTGGAAGCTCCTGTTAGTCCCTACACCATGAAATTTCCCCAAATCCTCCAGCCCCCACTTGGGGGCTTAGAGATCTTCATCATCTCTAAAAATACCTTTTTGCATTTTATTTTTATAAGTTGGAACTTAAATACAAATGGTCTTGTTCTTAATTTCTTTCTTTTTTTTCTGAGACAGAGTCTCGCTCTGTCACCGAGGCTAGAGTGCAGTGGCACAATCTCAGCCCACTGCAACCTCCGCCTCCTGGGTTCAAGCAATTCTGCCTCAGCCTCCTAAGTAGCTAGGATTATAGGCAACCACCACCACACCCAGCTAATTTTTGTATTTTAAGTAGAGACAGGATTTTACCATTTTGGCCAGGCTGGTCTCGAACTCCTGACCTCCTAATCTGCCCGCCTCAGCCTCCCGAAGTGCTGAGATTACAGGTGTAAGCCACTGCACCCAGCCAATTTCTTTCTTTCTTTCTTTCTTTTTTTTTTTTTTAAGTGAAAGCAATTTTGTTAAGAAAGTAAAGGGATAAAAGAATGGCCACTCCACAGACAGAGCAGCATTCTTAACTTCTTTGTATGCATAATCTTGTCTCCCTGAAGCAGAGACCTGGCTTTCCCCTCCTCTGTCATCCCTAGGACGCCACCCAGGAGGGAGAGGCACCTGCACAGGTGTGATGATTAATTTCATGGGTCAGCCTGGCTGAGCCGCAGTACCCAGATACTTGATCTAACACTAGTTTAGAGGTATGTATGCAGGTATTTTCTAGATGAGATTAACACTTGAAGCAGTAGACTTTGAGTTAAGCAGGTTAACTTCTACTATACCATGGGTACGTATACCTCGTTTCATCAGAATTTCTCTCTCAAGGAAGAAATTCTGCCTTCGGACTCAAACTGTAACATCAGCTCTCCCTGGGTCTCTACCCTGCATATTTTGTACTTGCCAGTGCCTACAATCATGTCAGCCAATCCTCAAAATAAATCTCTCAATTTCTAGGTAAGTAGGTAGATTAGACAGATAGGTAGGTAGGTAGATGGATGGATGGATAGATAGATAGATAGACAGATAGATAACAGGCAGATAGAGAGAGAGAGAGGTAGATTAACAGGCAGATAAATAGATAAATAGGCAGACAGATAACCTCTCTATATAGCTGGATATAGATCTCTCTCTCTGTGTTTCCCTTTCCTCTCTCTCTCTCTCTCTCTCTCTCTCTGTTGTTTCTGTTTCTCTGATTTCTGTCTGCTAGGACCCAAGGACGGCCTTCAACCAAAAGCCTCTCTTATAAACCCTAGCAGACTGTTACATCCTATTACCTATTTCTCTGGAGAAGTCTGACGAGTACAGCAGGTAAGAAATACTTGCCACATGGAAGATCCACCATGGCTCAGTCTCACCAAAGTAACCATATTCCCTCCTTCTTTCTTCCTCCCTCCCTCCCTCTCTTCCTCCACCCCCACTCCCTTCTTCCCTCCCTCAACATACTAGACAAGAAGCTTTCCCACTTTTGGCAAGGGTATTCTTTCATCTCCAAACAAACTCATACAAAAAAATCTAATCCCATATATAGAAAAGGAAGGCTTCTCTGACTGAAGATGGACAAAGGACTCTATGATGCTGCCCCTCACTTCCCAGGACAGAGAGCCCCAGCTACCCCAGGGCTTGGGGAAACAGTGAAAAACGATTACCTGAATTAGTGGTCATTTTCAGATTACAGATTCCACTGGCTATTGAAAGCACAAGAGAAATGGGCACACCAAGGCTAACTTTTTATTTTGCCAAGAAAGGACACAAAAACCGTAACAATATAAGCAACAATCACCACCGCCCTCTACCGCAAACATCATTTCCTAAAAGAAACAGCATTTTTAACACTTAAAAGAAAAATAAGGAAGACTACCTCTGACTATAAAATGGAACCTTTAGCTTTATTTTTATTTTTTATTTTTTTTCTTTGAGACAGAGACACTGCCGCCCTGGCTGGAGTGCAGTGGTGTGATCTCGACTCACTGCAACCTCCGCTTCTCAAGTTCAAGCGATTCTCCTGCCTCAGCCTCCTGAGTAGCTGGGATTACTTCCCCCCACAATCAGCTAATTTTTTGTATTTTTTGTAGAGACGGGGTTTCACTATGTTGGCCAGGCTAGTCTCGAACTCCTGACCTCGTGATCCACCTACCTCGGCCTCCCAAAGTGCTGGAATTACAGATGTAAGCCCAGCTAGATTTAGCTTTATTAAAAACTTGCTACTCTGCTCCCTCTTTCCTACCACAGACCGGTGAAAACATCTTCTGGCCCAGCCCAAGGCAGGTGCCAAGACACCTGGGCCCCAGGGTCCTGGGGAAGGTGGCCCTGCACCTTTTTGTTTTTTAAAGTGATTTCTATTTTAAGACTTTCAGAAAAGATCTGATCTAATTTAATAATTAGAGAATACATTAGACTAGGTGTGGCAGCTCACACCTATAATCCTTGTGCTTTGGGAGGCCAAGGCAGGAGGATTGCTTGAGGCCAGGAGTTCGAGATCAAGCTGGCCAACACACTGAGACCTCGTCTTAACAAAAAAAATGAAGAAATTAGCCAGGCATGGTGGCACACACTGTAGTCTTGGCTATTTGGGAGGCTGAGGTGGGAGAATGCTGTGAGCCCAGGAGTTTGAGGCTGCAGTGAGCTATGATCTTGCCACTGCACTCCAGCCTGGGCGACAGAACGAGACCCTGTCTTTAAAAAAATAATAATAATAAATTTTAAGAGGGATGCATTATAAGCAAGAAAGGCCAAGGGAAGGACAAGTGAACGTGCCAACCAAGAAGGCATCTGAATCAAGAGAATACCCAGGTCACGGTCACAACACCTCATTTAGCTCCCTAGCGGCCTGTTGGCCACAACAAATGAAGATGTGAGCGCCATGCAAAGTGTTTATGCTGGGAAGGAAGAGACAAAACTCCTCCTTTAGCACATATGACATCGCTCAAGTTTTAGAGCAAATAAAGCTTCGTGTGTCACCTGGCTTCTTCTTATCATTGCCCTGGACAAAAAGCAAGGGGACCCAAGTAGTACAATGTATCTGTCAAGAACCCCAGCTTTGGAATGAGGGAACTGGGACTGAATCCAGATTCTACTGCTCATGGTATGACCCTGGGCGAGGTCATTACACTCTCTAAGCATGAGCTTCCCCACTTGAGAGAATGGTCGAGAAAATTAAATGGGATAATATGTGTCTGAAACCATCATTACTGTCAGTAATAACACAAGAGTCCCCTGTCAAGGGGCTACATGACAGTGATTGATGGAGAGGCCAGGTGATGGGGTTCTAGTATGTGACCTTCCAGGGTTCTGCGGGCCACAGAGGTGGGGTTGTGTTTGTCTTGTTCACAGCAGATCTCCAAGGACCAGTAAGATGATGTATTGGGGGTCCAATAAACCTCTGTTGAATGAATGAATCGATGAACAAACAAACCCAATTTAGAATACCCACTGTCATGAAAGGGTACTGTCTCTTAGTCCACCACCCCTAAATAGGAGTCACGCTTTCTTGGACTTTGCTATCATTGCCATCACCTTTAATTTGGACCTTTCCATATTACTGCAAGGTCCACACATTGCCGCACTTCTCAAGCCTGGGTGTGATCTGCAGAACCATGTGCAGAGCAGAGGCAACCGGTCTCGGGTAGGGTACCTAACGCGGGCCTGTGGACGAGGGGTGGCTCCAGGCAGCACCCTCCAGGGGAGAGGCCCCTATACCTTGGACAATGGCGGTGCATCTTCTTGGGGGTGAACCCTGGCTGGAGCCCTGAGGTTTCCAGCCTAAGGCAAGGTCCTGCCAAGGTTTTGCAAGCCCTTGGTCCAAGGCCTTCCTTGGGTTCCAGAGTCCCGGGCGAGCAGTGGTGGCAGTCTGGGCAAACAGGGAGCACGGAGAACTGGCTACTGAGATTGCACTTTGGACATGATGCTGGCTCGGGCTACAGCCCAGTGGCCTTGGCCATGGCATCTCATCACTCTGGTCCCAGTGTCCTTGACTGGAAAATGAGAGGGAGGATCAAAGCAGGGGCTGATGATTAGAATCACCCGGGAAATGTTTGAAAATACCCATGTGTAGGCACCACCCCAGCATGCACCGATTCAAATCTTTTTCTTTTTAAAATTCCCCAGATGATTTTGATCAGGACTCAGCTTGGGGAACCAACTAAGTGACCATCTAGACCGCAACCAGCCCCAGCTCTCTGCCTTGGCAGTCAGGAATCACCTCTGGTTACCTGTGGAGGGAGGAGCTGAGTGAGGGCAGGGGGCACAGAGGGTGCCTGGGCTTTACAGCCACCCAGTCCAAGATCACCAATCTCAATTCCAGCTCTGGGACCACAAGCAGGTTCCTTAACCTTAGGGCATGGCCATCCTTGGCTGGAATAACCCCCCAGAGAGCTGCTGGGAAACACCTGGCACAGGCTGGCTGTCAACAATGACTGTCCCCATCCCACCCTGCGATACACATGAAGCCATCAAGAGGGTCTCTCCTTTATAAAACTGCTTATG